TCGGAGCAGCTGCTCTTCTTCTTCCGCCTCGTCGGCCGCAAGCTCATCAACAAGAAGTGGAAGCCGTACATCCCGGACTTCAAGCTGGCGTTCGAGCACTTCTGCATCCACGCCGGGGGACGCGCCGTGATCGACGAGCTGCAGAAGAACCTGGACCTGTCCGCGCAGCACGTGGAGGCGTCCCGCATGACGCTGCACCGGTTCGGCAACACGTCGAGCAGCTCGCTCTGGTACGAGCTCGCCTACATCGAGGCCAAGGGGCGCATGCGCCGCGGCGACCGCGTCTGGCAGATCGGCTTCGGCAGCGGATTCAAGTGCAACAGCGCCGTCTGGAAGTGCCTCCGCACAGTCAAGACGCCCGCCGACGGGCCGTGGGACGACTGCATCCACCGCTACCCCGTCGACATCCCGGAGGTCGTCAAGCTGTGATCGAATCCATGGTAGCCTCAGCCTCGCCCTCGCCGGCGGCCGTCGCGCCGCCGCCGCATTACCTCCCCTACACCTGTACGTCACCCGCGAAGCGTGCGTCCTCAAACTTTGGAGCTTCTTAATTTGTGGTGTTTTCTTCTTTCCTCCTTTCCCCTCCCTCGCTTCTTAATTTTTTTTCTTGTCTTCCTTTTATTTTTATTTTTTTCGCTATAAACACGGATTAAATCGATATACTTTGTCTGATGTGTCACATAAGGAATGATCATTCACAGGAGATTAATTATTATATATTTTTTTAATTTTCCAATTTAGCGTGGCCGTGGTTGTTCGATTGTTCGTGTCAGGATCCATGAAGAGGGAGAGGGATTGGGGAATTGAGGGGCGTGATCGAATCTCATAGGCTCCAGTTGCAATCCGTATCGTTACTGGCGAAAGGGATACACGCATAGTCTCTGGTAGACTGGTAGGCCTACACTGCACACCAATTAATCTCTTTTGATTTGCGAAAACCCTAGTACAGTATTACTACATTACTCTTCCAAATACAGACATGCGTAATTTATTACTGAGATGACTACCTGATTACAACTGCGTACTCCCTCCGTCTCAAAATAAATGCAGTTTTGCATTATTCACGTTCAACGTTTGACCGTTCGTCTTATTTGAAAATTTTTATGATTAGTAATTTTATTGCTATTAGATGATAAAACATGAATAGTACTTTACGTGTGACTAAATATTTTCAATTTTTTCATAAATTTTTCAAATAAAACGGACGGTCAAATATTGGGTACGGATATCCATGGCTACACTTATTTTAGGACAGAGGTAGTATTATACTGAGATATTTCAGTCCTTCTTTGTTCCTGAAAAATCAGTGGTTCCGGTCTTAAAACTTTTGGTGATAAGAAATGGAATATGTTAGGAGATTGTACAAAAAAATCTGAAGGAGAGGGCACGAGCTACTCATGATCCGTCGTTGGGAGTTTTAGCTCGAACCGAACTCATGATCCATCTAATTACTAACTGAAGTTGAGTTCATCTTACTAGATTAAAATCGACTCGCACTTCATGCAACCGGTCAGACATGATCCATCTAATTACTGGTTGAAGTGAGTTGTGCTCATTAGCTCACGTTTTATTCCTCTCTTAAGCTAGAATTCCATTTCTGTTATAAATTCTGACAACGACGTGGGTTTACTTACATGCCCGATCTGCTATGGTTGACAATTAGAGGACTAGCTGAGAATAACTCCAACTTTTAAATTTAACTCTAATAGTTAGGTTTGAAATAAAATTGTGGAGTAGCCTAAACCCAATACTAAACCCAATACAGTCTCGGTGGGAGCGCTTAAGCGGTCTAGCCCGCTTCACTTCGGAGGAGCTGAAAGCCAAACATGCCCTTGCCCCTAGATGTACAATAATCCAAAATTGTCTGATTATCCCTTTCTTACCCTTTGTCGAATTTCCAATATCCCTCTGTTTATACGGCTGTAACACGTAAATAAATGCAGTCGCCGTGCCGACATGTTTTCCGGGACAGGCTCTTCCTTGAATAGAGAAGACGGCTTTCTTCCTCAGTTTCCGTTCCGCCTCAAAACATCAATCATGCTCCGGTGTGGAGGACGTTAATCGCTTTTACATTTATGGCGACGGTCGACTCCCCGGTGAGGATGAAAGCCGGCCGTTCGATCCAGGTACTCGACGGCTGCGTGCGTTGCGTGGCTGGGTCATCACGGTCACGACCTCACACGGGCATCAGACCGATCGGATGCTAGTAAATGCGGACGAGGCGCAGCTCAGCGCCGGGTGGGTGGGTGGGTGGGCGTGTGGACGCGAGGCTGGCGCGAGCTAAGCTGTGGTGGCTAGCTGGAGGGATCGCAGTTAATGGCCGAGGAAGGTGACAAGATGGGCTTTTTTCCCCGGTTGCGTGGTCGCGGCGCGGCGTTGCCGGTGGCCGCAGCGCGGCTGCGCTGGGTTTTGCTCCCCCGCGCACTCCTCACCTCGCTGGGTCGTGGCAACTTGGCGTCGCGCGTCGCGTGGCGTTGGACGCGGGGAGAAGCAGCGGGGATTGGGTGGTCGGGCACCCGCAGGCGCGCGTGGCGCGGTTGGGAGGCGTTAAATGCGTTTGGCTGGCGACGGACCGGGGGTGGGTGTTGGTTGGGCCGAGGAAATGAGGGTGTGTGTGTGTGTGTGTGGGGGGGGGGGGTTTGGTCTCCTTCCCTCTCGGCTTGCGGGCGGGGTTTGGCTTGCGACTTGCGATGCCTTGCCATGCCACACCGGGACGATGGGGTCTGGTTGTTAGGCTGGCGTGAAAGGGAGCGGGGAGTTATGGCGACGCGATTGCGTTGCACGATGCATCGTCGTGCATTCACGGGGCGTCGCTGTTGTGCGCCATGGAGATGGAGGGGAGTGGAAAGCAATCGAAAGCTCCCAAAGCCCTGAAGCAACCTGGACAGCCCGGCCTCAGCTTTGCTTGATGGCGGCAGCTGATAGTGCTCTGATAGGCCATACTAGCGTTTCTCCTGTGCCACATTGACTATAGAACAGCGTAGCACGAAGCTATCACTCGTAGTTCTAAGTATCCCGATCAACACTATAATACATCCATCCTTCTACAATATCCCGATCAACACTAATACCATCCTTATACGCTTACTAATTACTGATACTGCTGGATTATTATTACACGCATTGCTGGATCAGTTCGAGAGGCAGAAGCAACAAGTCAGATGTATGTGCTACAGTACTAGTGTCTTCAGTTCCCCCGAAACAACATGAAAAGCACATCGCCCTCTAATAACAGCCTGTCGCCATTTAGCATTCTGCTATGTCCAAATTCATCCAGAACAGAGTTCTTGAATGTATTCCAACTTGATGCTAACTTCGCGCCACAAATCTTGCCCGACATGGCACAGTGGTGATCATAGATCATCTGTCTACTCACACGCATAATCCATGAGCAAGAGATCCGATCCCTTGGCAGGGGAGTCTTCGGATCAGTAGCACGAAGCATACGTATACACCAATCTAATTCCATGGTGATATCTCTATTTATGATTAAATATGCAACAATAAATAAATGACTTCATTTTTATCTAGCTTACTCCTTCCGTCCCAAATTTATTATACTAGGGGCCTGTTCACTTTGATGCCATTTTCAATCTTACCAAATTTTGGTAAAGTTGCCAAAAAAGTGACTATATTTAGTTTGCTGCCAAATTTTGATAACTATATATGCCAAAATTTTGGCAACTTTTGGGCATCAAAGTGAACAGGCCCTAGGATGTGTCGCATTCAGTCCAAGTTCGCTATATTTTGAAACGAAGAGTACCTTGGATCAATTTGGAAGGAAATATAAGTTTTCTAATGCTTGCAATCGTAGTTAAGGACAACTACATTGCAATAATAGGCTAGTGGCTTGTCTAGATTCATTAGCATCCATATGAACATGGACAATGCTAAAAAGTCTTATAATATGAAATATTATAAAACGGAGGTAGTATTAAATTGCTGATATGAACATGCAATGCAAGCACAACTAGTCAAGATCTTGGTACGCAGTTCATAGCAAATCTGCACTGCACACTGAAATGAAGGGTAAATTTTCTTCTATGCCACTGGAAATTTACCCAAACCCTTATTTGCCAGTCATTCTCCCGATGCTGCGTGGACCTAGGGCCCGAATGAGGGCGATGATTTGCGTGTTAATCTAAAATACAAATAAATTTTATCATCAAAAGGCCATAAATAATTGTTTTTGATCAAATGGGAAACATCTCAACAAATTAACACCTTCACAGTCAAAGATGGAATAGAATTTACCTAAATAGTCAAGACTTCTTTTCCTAAAGAAATGTCGAAAAACAACAGGAAAATAACAAGTATGAGGTATAATTGAGATTATGTAAACGATTGAAACAAGAAGCAAATCAAACAAAAGAAGCATCAACGTCCACAGGGAGCAAGAGGGTGCAAGAATGAATCAAAGAGAGAGGAAAAAGAATTTCAAGCTGCAGTAAAAGGTGAGTTATGTCACCCTTTGAACTAACTCCTAAAGAAACAAGCAGCAGTAAGTGGCGATTTAAATCCCTGAATAAAAAATGAGAGAACATGAACATGAAGTTCAAAATGATGATATAACTGTAGTCAGTTTGAGCCTTTGAGGAGGGATGTGCTGTCCTTATTGTATTAAGTCAAACAAGAAACTACTTGTAATTTATGTGACAGTAGATATAGCAGTGTCCTTATATAACTTCTTCAAACAAGCAATATTCATGGATGAGTTCTGTTGAAATTTGTGTTCAAAATCAATTGTTAAGCACACATAGAATGACTTGCAACCCTATATAACATTTGCCCATTCTTGTCACTAGATGAACAGTGCAGCAATTAAGTGTGCATGCCCCCATGTGTGTCCAGCTGTCCACTTTCCCAGGAAATCACGAAATGTATACATGGACAATTAAGAAGCCCACAAGTTCACATTATCACATATGGGCATCAATTAAGACACTGAAATGATAACTACCTTCTTTTGAAAAAGGCAGGATCAAATAAGCGAAACAGAGTTTAGCTCCTAGATGAACCATCATTGTTTTTGTTTAGAAAGACTGTCACCAAACTATAACACAACATGGACAACAATACTATAGGCAACTTGAAGTATAAGTGCAAGATCACAAGAGGGTGAGGGTGTGTGTTGGGGGGTATGCATACTGACATTTGACATACATCACATTTAAAAGAGAGAAAATTCCTTCCATACCCCTGAAATTTTAGCCGATCCCTTCTATGCCCATGAATTTCCTTCACTCCCTTGTATACCTCTGAATTTTGATTTGGATCTCTTCCATACCCTTGCCGTTAATTGACCGTTTAATAGGTATATAAAAGTCAGTTTTACCCTTCAATATGTGAGGAATATGTAGAAATTTGTAAACTATATTGTTGGAAGTATAAAATTTGTTGTGTGATTATCATATTCATAAGTTTTATGTACATAAAAAATTTAATATATATTTAAAAAGTACATGTAGCATTTTTTTAAATGATAAACATAGTTTTGGAAAGCATTCCTATATAATATATACAACAGGAGAAAATATGTTGAACTACCATAAACAAATGCTACATATACTCTTTTAGTAGGTAAATAAATATTAGTTTTTATGTCATTAGGTAAAAATAAACTTTGCCATGAATAATACCTTGTACAATAAAGTCATGAATATGATAGTCTTATATAACAAAATTATACACTTCCAACAATATAGCTAGTCTACAATTTTTAGATTTCCTTCATGTCTAAGGGCAAAAAGGTCCTTTTCATTAGAATTAAACATTCAACTAACGGTATGGGTATGAAAGGGATCAAAACCAAAATTCAGGGGCATACAAAGGAGTGGACAAAACTCGGAGGCGTAGAAGGGATTGGCTAAACTTTCAGGGGTATAGAAGGAATTTTCTCCATTTAAACAGGAAACACACAAAAAAAAATGCTTGCATATCGCACGGATTCAAAATTCGTTGAACGTGGAACTTTTGGAACAAGGTAAGAGAAATAAGTATATGTTAAAGAAAAGGGTAAAGGAGAAGTACAGTGTATATGAATTCTATGCAGATGCTTCATCAGATTCACCAGCACCACCATTTTTCTTGCTAAAGTATTCTTCTGCACGAGCTTGGTTCTTCAGATAAGATTGTGGTAGCCATTTCTTCCGCTTTGGTACCAGACTTAAAGTACAACCAGCTGCCTCGAGCTTCTCCTTGGCTGAAGCAGAGAATGCCCCAGCCTTGATATTCAACTTGACTGATACATCACCATCTCCTAAAATCTACAGATAGGTTTTCAAAAGTTAGCATACTAATACTACCCGCATGATAAAAGATACAATAACAACAGCAACATTGCAGTATCATTGTACTCAAACAAAGATGAAAGGAACGCCATCTGCTGAACATCAGAATCAGATGTCAAGAAGGAAAAAGCCTATCATAAGGATAAAGTTGATAGCTCCCCACATTATGACTTAGGTCTTGATACCTGTTTTAGCCCTGTGGGTTTTACCTTATATGTACCACATAGCTAGGAGCCTAGAGTATAGAAAAAATCAATCAAATGAAATAGGACCAGAAAGAACAATAAAAGTTGAACAATTATGCTATTCAAGGTGCATTAAGTTCCACCCTTGGAGAAGTCTTTGTCACATCAGTGATCAAGCGCCACACCACTACCCACTATAAGGGGCAACCCAGTAGCACACTAATGCATCTACTCCAGCAATCCGCCAACTAAGAGTGGAGACAAACAGTAAATATTTTGGGTATGTTGGGAGTGATGCAGACATGCAGTGGTACATGTAAGAGCACATGGTTTTGTTGGGATCTTGATACCACTTCATGTTTATGCCTGACAGATATGCTCATATGCAGGCCTACACCATGTGTGGGTTCATCATAACTCATACGTTCTAGATCCTTGAGTAGCCAATAGAAACACTCGTCAAATCATACCGTGTTTGTCCAACACGAGCTAAGAAAATTGATCCCGACACACAACTTTGAGACTTCGAATACTCAACTTGGTAATTGCTGCTAAGGACAGACCAACACAGCAACATTTGAGAACTACAAGAAAAAAAAAGGCCAGCCATTCAATCCACAACATCAACAACTAAAGGATTACCCAAGACTGCTGGTGAACTTGATGAATTCACTGGCAAAGATCAAATGCAAGGCATTCATATTTCAGTTTTCAGTAAAACATGGTCATCTACAGAACCGACTTAAAAAAAAGAAGGATAATCGTCGTATAGTGTACCTTCAGAGGAAGCTTTCTCTCCCTGCCAGACGGATTAATCAAACCCCTCGATTTCAAGGATTCCAATGATATCTCGTCACCATCCTTGAACCCGCCACGCGCCAAGTCTCTCAAATTGAACGGCACATACTTCGGCAAGCCAATATGCATTCCTGCAATCGCAAGGTAGAACTTGCAACGGGTCACTTCTCAATCCCAGCATTTCTGCATTCCAAATGGAAGGTGCTAGCGTGTTCCCACTCAATTTCCAGTGCATTTGAATGTGTGAGGCTTCGATTGAGGGCGAGGAGGGGAAGCGGGAAGCTCGAAGAGACTCACCTCCAGCAATGCCGCGCAGCTTGGGGATGCGGCGGTAGAGCGGCATCTGCCCTCCCTCGAACCCGCGCCGGACGCCTGGCCCCGAGCGCGACTTCTGTCCACGCATGCCGAACCCGCAGCTCGCGCCCTGCCCCGCCGCGATACCGCGCCCCTTCCGCTTCGGCCGCCGCCGCGACCCCTTCTGCGGGCCCAGGTTGTCGAGCCGGAACTTCTCCGCGGGCTCCGCCTCCGCGGCCTCGGCCGCCGCGGCGCTGCACACGACCGTGACGCAGCGGCGCGGGCGGGCGCGGAGGACGACGGACCGGCGGCCGGAGATGGGGCCTGGAGCGGCGACGAAGGAGGTGGAGAGCGAAGTGGAGGCCGGGAGGTGGAGCAATGTGGCCGCGGGAGCGAGGGAGAGGAGGGTGATGGACGCCATGGCGGTGGAGCGGAGAGCGCGCCTGAGCGGCTTGCTGGTGTGGGTGGATAGAAGGGGATAATTGGGGAAGGACACGAGGGAGATAAGACGGTTGGATAAATGGGCCATGAATCCAATTAACCCTTGGGAATTTGGGCCTCTTTTCCCTCTATTTTGTGAATGGTTTCGTATTACTCACTTTGCTTCTTGTTTATTAAAGGATTTTAGAAGGTTTACAAAAGTTTATGAATAGAATAGAACTGAATTTATCTTCTTAAGAAATGAACATATTTGGATTGATCTTCCACACACAATCAACCAAAGAGAAAACCTGATCTTTGCTGTTCTTCAAGAGACTAGTACGGAGAGAAACTGATGGGTCACACAACCTGACAGAGTTAAGTATACTGAACTGATCTATGCTAAGAAAAGAAAAGGTGAAATGAGAAAGGAAGAAACGAAGACATGTACAAGACACATGCTTCACAGGATCGTCCCGTTGCATGTCTAGCAGTAGACAGGTGCAAGGAATTAAAAGTAAGTGTTACAACTGTAGTCTGGATAATTGTACGTCCAGGCCTCAGCTGAAAGAAACTAATGGAACTCTGGCCATCAACCATCTGAAATGTCAACAACGATACCTCTAGTTGGTGAGTTCAATGGTGACGATGCAGCTTGGCCAGCTTGATCCTCTGCTGCTACATGACTACTTACAGGATGATCTGGCAATGAACTTACATCAACTCGATTAGCTTGCACATTTTCAGATTTGTCATTGTCCCCCTGGCTTAGGGGGTAAGAGCCAGCACTGCTAGAATTTCTGCCATTTTCTACAAAAGATGTAGAACTAGCACCTTCACTGCCACTATTGGATTCCCTAGCAAGAACAAGTTTCAGTAACTTCTGCCGCTTTCTTCTTTCGGTTCTTTTATTTATCAAAGGCACCTCATCTTCATCTGACTCATCCACAGAATAGTAATTCAACCATTCAATGATTACAGAGTAGGAACCATCCCACTTGCTTATTTTTCTTTTCTTCTGTCTGCTGCACTCTTGATTCTTCTTTAGTGAGGTTGTTCTTGGACGCTTCGGTGCTTCCTGAACAGTTGTGGCGGTTAGACGGTCCAAACCAATATCCTTTGACAATTTGATTTTCTTATTAGCTGTGTCTCTTGAAGAGGACTCCATTCCAGAAATACCAATAGAGTCATCAGGAGGAAACCCAGCAGAGGTTTCTTCCAGTTCATGCTTATTGCCTTTTCCACCCTTAATTGATGCATGCGCATTGTGCCAACTTCCAGGGGCTGATTCTTCAACTTTGCAATCAGGTGCTTCTACAGATAAAGCTACCAACAAAAATTAGCAGTATCATCAATTTGTATGAGTAGGCATACTAAGAGTTTAAAATGTATATCTGCAGTAAAGAGTCATCTCAAGGCATTTCAACAAAATAGACTGTTTTATGGTCTTAAAATGTTATCATAACTGGAACCTCCTTTTTAAGCCAAATGTTACCTTTTGAACCCTCTACACAACCTGATGATGATCCTTGAACTCTGTGATAGCTACCAGTGCACCGCTTCTTGTGCCTATATATATATTAATACAGAAAGCCAAATCATGACTCCATCCATGAACTCAATGACACTAAATTTAGAGTAAGTTGCATCCCAGGACCCCAAGGAGGAGAAAGAGCATGATAGTTGTTCAGGTATTACTAATCTTGTTTGGCTGCTGGACATGTCGATTTCACCTCCAATAAAGAAAAATTTATGTCAGATCATTTACCACTTTTTAGATTATGCAATTGCCAAAGTGACAGGACAACACAAAGAAAATGTTAGATATTGAAGCAGACACCCATCATTACCTTCTTAGTTTAACATCTCTCTTTGTCAAATTTAACAATAATAATAGTTGATTTATTTGTTCATCACAAACTGAGGTTTACATCCTACCTCCCACATTGCAAGGATACACTAACAAGGCAGAGAGTAATAAATTACACATTTTGGAAATTACACAGTTAGCTTTAAAATGTACATCTAGCTTATATTTCTATGAATATTTATGTGCACTCTTAGGCTGTGTTCAGTAATGGAGGATGGGAACCTATCCCCTCCGCACGGAAAACGGAGCGGTTCATTAGCGCATGATTAATTAAGTATTAGCTAATCTTTTTTTAAAAAATGGATCAATATGATTTTTTAAAGCAACTTTCGTATAGAAACTTTTTGTAAAAAACGCACTGTTTACAGTTTGAAAAGCGTGCGCACGGAAAACGAGATGGATGAGTTGGGAACTGGGGATTCCGAACACACCTTTAGAGATATACCAATAAGGCATGCATGGAACAAAAAAAATGCAAAGAAATATATAGCTAATACCAATGCCAGTGACAAATTAAACTGTCACACAAGTCATTAGCACCCATTGCCTCAATGCAGTCATCCTGTGATGGTCCTTTGATTTTGGTTGACTTGATCAAATCTCCACAGCTTTCACACTACAGAGATTGTTAGCTGCCAATCTGAAATTAGAAAATAAGATTTACTTTTAAAGATCAGGTTCTTACTTTGTGTATATAAAATTTCTTTCTGATCTCATGGAACACAGTTATGCTGTAGCCACCAAGAGGACGCTGGATATAATTAAAAATATCGTTACGATAATAAGAAATATTTAAGCACATGCTGATTGAAAATTGACACCTGAATTCAACTTACATGAGGATCGGCTACAGAGTTTAAATTGATTGTATTCATCAGTTTCTGGAATTTTGGCCCATGGTCACTGCTTGATCACAGTTTTTAAATTAGTCAAAACGAGAAAAAAAAAAGTAGACAGAAATTCAGGTGTAATACAAGAAGAGGCCAGTCATGGTACTAAAAAGTACCTATGGTTATCATTACTATCTTTGATGCACATATAAGCATGAATCATTTCATGAAGCAGCGCATTCTTTAAATCCAAATCTGTGTGGTGTTCATACAAGGATCTGGAAAGAAGTATAATACAGCCACCACCACCAGGATAATATTCACAGCCACCTACTTCACTGCATCAAAATGATTAAAAATGGAAAGTTTCAAAACAATCATACTGGTAATAGCAGGTACTATGGTCTTTGATGAAAGTTTCTTATTTCAGAGAATAACTATAGAAGAAAACAATTATAGGCAATAACTCACAAAGTTATCCAATAGTACAGAGTTTATGTGAAAAAGATAGTGTTAAGATGAAAATATGGAAGGGTCGGATGGTCAGCATCATTTCCAGTCAATTATAGTTGACGATTATGAGCTAAATGACACTATGACAGACAACTCACGAATCTTGTTGAACATGCTTGCTAGAAAAATATGCACATGACAGTGCCATAAATGTGGCTGACATACTTCATAATTGTGCATAGCAATACATCAGTCACTGTGTTCCATTCAAAATGCTATGCACATTCACCAATAGATTTGCAAATCAAACATATTTGGGAAGTATATAGGGCTTGTTCACTTTGGTGCCAAAAACAACCTTACCAAAATTTGGCAGGGTAGGAAGTGGCAAGTTTTGGTAGCGTTGGATACTTGGATGTGTTTTGTTAGATTTCTTTCCAAATTTTGGTTGTGTCATTATGAGTGGGAATGGGAAACTTTCAGAACTACCAATTTTGGTAGAATAGCAATGGTAGAACGTGGCAACAAAATGAACAGAATGAATAGGCCCATAGATATGATACCAGTGTCTTCGAAGTTCAAAACAACTGGAGCAGAGATGTCTATGTAATCAGTCTAAGAGTTCAAGCGACTTTTTCATTCTACTGTCTAGATAAATTTGTTCACTCCTTCCCAAAAGTAAATGTTTTTACACTATTTTCCCATTTCTTTCTAGAAAGCATGCCAAAAGCATACATTAAATCTTTCCACTTTTTCATGGTTTAGACCTAGGCATTGATCCATACTCTCAAAGAGTGTAGTTTTTACGGTCAATGAACAAGAGAACGACGCAAAGATTTAGAGGTTAACAGATAGAACTGCAGATAATGACAAGGCATAATCGTGTAGAATAATATGGATCACCTATGTTCTGGCTGAACGTTTAGATCAAAATACCCGAATATGGATAATCCCCTTTGATGCCCTAATTCATTTTTAGGGGATTGATGTTCTAGTTCTAACGAACAAGGGATATATGGGTTAAGCACTTCCTTTTGGCATTGATCCACTGGTGGATGAATGAGTGGATTTGATGCGGGGTGAACCAACATATACCGAATGTCCGAATCAGAACCCCTACAGAACAGGATTGTTCTCGTGTGCTGTTCCCCCTATAAAGCCATCATACTGCACTGAATCTACTAAGATACGCATGCTTAGTGGCAGGACATGAACGGAGCAATCTTGCAACCACCGCACACAACTCAACATCCACACAAGACCTAAATCCGCAGTATTCAGTAAACCGGACCCCCCCCCCCCCCCATATAACACCGAGAACGGCGAGAATTCGGAGTGGCGACGCTTTACCGATTGGGGAGTGGATCCTCGTCGGTGGCCCAGGAGACGGCGCAGGTGCCGAGGGAGTCGTGGAAGTAGAGGGCGTTGTAGTGGCAGAAGAGCTTGGAGATGTCCGGCTCGCCTCCGCCCCGGTCCGGATCCGAGCCCCTCATGGCCGGAGGAGTAGCCTGCGAGTAGTTCGCGATGGGGACGGCGGCGGAGCCCGGCGACTCGGCGAGGGTTTTGGGGAAGACCCCGGTCAGGGTTCTGTAGGCGGAGGTGGAGGAGGACGAGGATGGACTCGTTGGCCATTTTGGCTGGGTTGGGTGGTGGTGCTCATTAAGCCCTTGCTGGCTGCACCTATGTACTCTCTCCGTTTCGAATTACTTGTCGTCGTCGTTGTTTTATTACATTGTATACGAAAAAATATTAATGAACTATAATTTTATTACCATTATTAATTATATCTTGTTTTTTCAAAATAAGTAGTACAATTAATTGTAACAGATAATAGCATTAATATAACTATATTTAAAAATAGTAGGGAAGAAAACACATCTCTATAAATTGTAAAAAGATGATTATTATGGAAAAATAGATAAATACAAGAACGGCAAGTAAATTGAAATGGAATGAGTATTTTCATATAGAATGTGGGGATTTTTTTGTCATATGAGTTAACAAGGAAAGATGAAAAATATATGGATTACATCTAAACCTTGTGAGAAATAAATTACATTAAATTAGCCCATTAAATTATTGATGTGTATTGAGAGAGTTATGTCTAATATAAATCATAGGTGATGTAGAGGATATAAACACTATGAATAGTATATAGCACTGGCAGTTTAGGAATCGTCCTTACGATCGATCAAAGTGATGAAGAAGACTATTATAGTAATAACTTAGCGATGTTAGTGTAGGTGTGTGGTGGTCTGCATGGCACCACATGACACATGGATCTAGTAAGCTAACTATAATGACTTTGGTGTGATGGCAAAGAAAATAGAAGGTTAGGAGGCCATGATCAAGTTTGACATGATAAAGGACAAAGACTAGTCTCAAATGCAGCGACTCGATGATAGTGAATAGTGTCGTGGTTTGGAGGCATGAAGATTGCAATGGCTCGATGTTAATATGGATAAAAAAATGTGGATTAGCGATGACGACCAGGTAAAATACGTTGAGATCTTTTCAGCGTTATTGGTTTCATTAAAACCGCTGGATTATAACAGAGTAAGGTGATAAGTCTATCCACTGGCTAACTTTTCCCATAACCTAGAGACTCTCGTCATTGGCAAATGTTGATGTTAGTGTAGAGTGACTAGAGTCCATAGAAACATTGGCTCTTGCTGTTGTAGTAGCCTAAATAGCCTAAGAATGGATTGGTGCTTGAAGATAACCGATGCCTCACTGAGAAGTTTGTTGTCTAACTGCAAATTGGTGTGGCGTACTATGACCAAATTATAGGTGTAACATATCAGGGCATGGATGTAAATGGATTTCAATCCGAGCTAAGATATTTCTAAAGATCACTAGTTATATTAGGCTCATGGTTGCAGGAGTCCAATATGTGACTGGATATTGTAAGGCTATTAAGCACCTGGATTCCATTCATATCCTCACGTCTTAAGAGCAAATTTAATATTAGAGCTCACTATCAGCTATTATCATACTTTAAAGACAACATATATAATAGATTAGCTATAAGGTTCCTTCAATTTTTGTTGTCCTCTCTCTTTTATCTCACTTATGCATTTATTGTATTTGTCTTGGAGCACGTATTGAGCTAGTTCTTGCACAAGAGTAACACCCTTCATTTTTTTTCTTGCTACCTCTCTCATCCACGTAAGTTTATAATTAATTTATAGCTCACTATTATCTATGCTATAAGGCAGAGTGTGAGCAAGTTGGGTTGCAGTTTCCTAGTAACTGTAAGGTAAAATTTGGAGGCAGCTCATCCAAGACTGATCCATCTATTGGTATACTCCCTCCGTACTCGTAAAATAAGTTGTTTAGGACAATGTTTAAGTCAAACTTTAGGAATATAAATCATGAATAACTCTCAAGTTATTGAGTTTGAAAATGTAAAAATTATATGAATAGATTTGTCTTGAAAAATACTTTCATAAAAGTGTACATATATCACTTTTCAATAAATATTTTTATAGAAATAACAAGTCAAAGTTGTGTTTTGAAGACCGTATCATTGTTCAAAACGACTTCCTTTACGAGTACAGAGGGAGTATTCTTTTGTTTTAATATCAATAACATCTCAAAAGTATTTTCTATATTTTGTCACTTTTCATGTACAAAACATGTTGATATTGTGGTTGGTTGTGGGCATGTTACATTTTCGGATTTGAGGTAGAAAATGGATGATGCCATGGATGTAAGAAAATGCGCAGTTGTAATTTAGTCTTAATTATATTTGATAATCAACTTTATCCTTGGTTTGTCTTCATTTAAACAGTCTTCTCCCCCATGTCCGGCGGCGCCGTGGCCCGTGTGGCCCGCTTCCACAACCTGCGGCCGGCGCCACAGTTGATGGGCCGGCCCATCACTCCTACCTCGTGTCTCTGACACCCTGACCACACGAGCCCCCTCCCCACTCAACCGGATAGACGAACGCCAGCCAGTCGCCGGCTTCAGGCTAACTAAGCCCTAAACCCGCGTGTCTCCTCCCTCCTCGCGAGTTCGCCGGCCGCCTCGCCTGCGTCGATCTCCAGTGGGCAGCGGCGCCGGCGTCTGCTGCTTCCGCCGCATCCTCGCCCGCTGGTGAGCACCCCACCCGTTACGCGCATCCTCTTTCTCATCTCTCACTAACCCACACTTTTTTTCCCCTCCGATTTGCGTTGGCCCTAGCTTCTCTTCTAGATCTGTAGGTTGCCTTTCTCTTTACCTTTTTGCCTTAACCTTAGCACGAATAACAATTTAGTTTGTTCCCAAGAAAATTTGGGGGTTCAACCGAGTTTAACACGATTGATGCCACCGATACTCCACAGACTTCTTGCGTCTAACTTTGTTTTACTATTGCAAGTTGTGAATGCTGCAGTTTACATGATTCAATTGTTTGGTTCTTTGCACAGCCAAGAGCACCCCCGGTGAATTTGCGAGATCAGTTGGGAGTAAGGACATTTCGGCTGCTGTAAAATTGGTTTTCATAAGCAGAGCAGCAGATGAGGCTAACTGTTGGCCAAGTGCATCGACATGTGCTTGCATTGGCATCTTCGCGATCATGCTTCGTCCTCGGTGACAACCTCCCATTGAGAATGCTTTCATTACCACGAGCGGTTAGATTTCACCAGACCGCTTGGCTTGGTACTGAAACAGTACAAGATAAGAGTGCTTCACTAACTCTAGCTAGTCTTGAAGGGCAAAACAAAGTTGAATATGGTAAGAAAGAAAAAGCAACACGCATTGGAGGTCCAAAGCCGTCTTCAAGGGCTTCTGCTCTTAAGGTGAAACCAAAAGTTTCTTCATTTAATTCCAAACCAGCAAAGAGCACCTTACCGAAATCAGCAGTAGTGAAGAAGACTCTGAAGATAGATGAATCTCTTTTCTCTGCAAAATCATTTGAAGAGCTTGGTTTGCCGCCTTTGCTTATAGATCGGTTGAACAAGGAAGGTCTAAGTACTCCAACTGAGGTCCAGTCTGCTGCTATTCCTATCATTTCACAAAAGCATGATGCAGTTATCCAGTCATATACGGGCTCAGGGAAGACACTCGCTTACCTTCTCCCTATTCTTTCTGAAATAGGCCCCCTAAAGAGGCCTACAGAACAAGATGGTTCTGATAAGAGATCAGGTGTAGAGGCAGTTATTGTTGCTCCTTCCAGAGAATTAGGAATGCAGATAGTGCGAGAAGTGGAGAAGATTTTGGGCCCTAATGATAAGAGGCTTGTCCAACAACTTGTTGGTGGGGCTAATCGTTCGAGGCAGGAAGAAGCATTGAAAAAGAACAAGCCACTTATTGTTGTGGGAACACCTGGTCGTATTTCTGAAATTTCAGCAGGGGGCAAGCTACACACCCATGGTTGCCGCTTTCTTGTACTGGATGAGGTTGACCAGCTTTTGTCTTTCAATTATCGTGAAGATATGCATAGAATACTTGAACATGTAGGAAGGAAATCTGGTACTTCATCTAGAGATATTCTTGGCCCTCTTGCAAGGCGGTCTGAGCGCCAGACTATCTTGGTTTCTGCAACAATACCGTTTTCAGTTATACGAGCAGCCAGGAGTTGGGGTCACGATCCAGTCCTTGTTAGAGCTATGAGTGTTGTTCCACTTGATTCAATTACTGTTCCAAGACCTGTGCTGTCCCAGACAGATGCCAACCCCAACTCTCCATCAAATTCAGTGAATCAAGCTGCAGTTAACAGCTTACCACCATCTTTGGAACATTACTATTGTATATCCAAGGCTCAACACAAAGTTGACACTTTGAGGAGATGTATCCATGCTCTGGAAGCTCAGACAGTTATTGCATTTATGAACAACACCAAGCCATTGAAAGATGTTGTATTTAAGTTGGAGGCCCGTGGGATGAAAGCTACTGAGCTACATGGAGATCTTGGAAAGCTTGCAAGATCAACTGTGCTGAAAAAGTTCAAGGATGGTGAATTCAGAGTTCTAGTTACAAATGAGTTGTCTGCCAGAGGACTGGACGTGCCAGAATGTGATCTTGTGATTAATCTGGATCTTCCAACAGACTCTACACACTATGCCCACAGAGCTGGCCGAACGGGCCGTCTAGGGCGGAAAGGAACTGTGGTCACAATATGCGAAGAAACTGAAACATTTGTTGTAAGAAAAATGCGCAAGCAATTAGCTGTACCCATCAAGCCATGCGAATTCACGGAAGGCAAGTTGCTTGTTCATAATGAGGAAGATGTAGAATAAGCTCTGCATTGTCGAAATGACATTTAATGTCTTGAAGTGTTATTTGTGTATGGGCATTTCTCATAGATTGTATTATCTTAAAATGTTATCAACCGATGTTTTTTTGCTCGATACAAATATTCAGATAAATGGGAATAGTTGTCTTTCCTGGGAACTTGTTCTTCAACGGGGAGTTGGTGCTCCGCTCCATTTTTTTTTCTATTGTCACCCTCTTATGGATATGCACTGTAATGCGTGAGATGACTCCAAGAAATTCTGTGTCAGCATTTCACAGAACCGACCTCTTTCTTGTTCTTCATGATACTTTTTGGAATTGAAAAACCAAAGGTGAATGCATATTTGTAAAGTTTAGCTAGATGCACCTGAAAAAGTCAATGGAACACTGAACAGGTTCCCTTAACCATAGTTGGAATCATGGACGGTGGACTTTCTGGATTCTACATTCTGTCATTCAAGTGTTCCATTGCAAGTTTGCAACTGAAGGTTTGGGTATAGCCAGTGTTCTGGGTTACTGGATCTTTAGTGTATATATTTCAGTTAAACTTATGACAGTAAACTGAAGCTTTTTACTTGTAGCAGTGGCCCCTATAGCTCAGTGGTAGAGCGTCAGTCTTGTAAACTGAAGGTCTGTAGTTCGATCCTGCATGGGGGCATTTTTACCTTTTTCCAACTCGTTTTTTTAATTATTTTTTACTCCAATAAAGATGATGTTCGTTTTTTCTACTCATTTTTTTACTCCAACATAGAGGATGTTTGAATGCACCGGAATCCAATTTCTTTTACTCCAATAAAAAGGATGTTCTGGAGTCCTGTTCCAATTGTTAGGGCAACTCATCTTCACCAAAATCTTTTTACTCGAACAAAGAGGATGTTATGAATACACTGGAATCCTGTTCTAACTATAAGGTCAACTCATCTCCACCAAGTCTCCAAGGTACTCATAACTTTGAACTTTACGTCACAAAATACATATTGTGAGACATCCTTTTATCTCTCAAAGGAGTTGTTACAATACTGTGGCTTAGTCACCATCATACCCTCTACACCTCCAAACCTGGACATCGACAGAATATTCAAAGGGTGAATTATGTAACTGAGTTTCACCAAACATAGATAAACAAAAAATGTTGCTCAGTATAATTTTGAACCACACACACACACACACACACACAAAGAGAAGAAGACGACCCATACAACTTTAAGAATTCTTGTCCAACCAGGTAAATTGCTGTTTTACATGACACGCTTCTACACATCAGATTGGCCAGAAAGCTGCATCTCTACTCCTGCTCATGGATTCTCCAGCAAACAGTAACCGACACATTGTTTGCAATAGTCTCAGCTTTCGCAGGAGCCTCGCTAATATAAACTCTTTAGATTTTTGTCTAGCTGAATAGCCCAAATAAACTCTTTTTGGGATGGAGGGTGTATGTTCCAAGTGAGGCCTGATATTTTGAATTCCTCCATATCCACATGGTTCTTGGAATTGAACAGAATGATAATATTGATGATAAATAGATCGCTACTTTGAACCAAAAGGAGATTATATGAAGCAGAAACATGTATCCGCACAAAATGTCACAAAGATAATGAACTGGGCTGGGCATGCTTTTTATTCACAGACAAATCATTTACTTAATAATCTTAGCAACAAACACAGACTGATAAATATTATTCAGCCATGCTAGTTTTCATCACAGAAGATCAGAGCAAAAACAACTGCCAGAACTAGGAATGTTATTGTTTATCAGCGATGTCATGATGGATAATATACCAATTGGCGTAAATAAGAAATATATGTAACAGACTAGCACCAAGACAAAAGGTTCATATATGCTTACAAAATATACCAGATAGAAAAATCTCATCTGATCGAATAGTAAACAGATATATCAATTCGATACTCACTATGTTTTCCACAAATTTTCATGAGCACAGATGTTCACTGACAACAGAAGTTGTGCACTGCATTTTAGTGAAAACATAAGCGTCCATAACATTGTTTTGAAAAAATTGACTTATGGTTACACAATATTGCTGCAATCAACTTATTTCAAGACAAGTAATCAAGCATATAAGTCCTTACATTTTTGACATTTAGGATCCTGACTCCTTGGGAGTTTTTGCAACAATTGAGATAGCATGAAGTCCTGAGTTCAACTCATCAGTCAAGAGGTCATACACCATCCTGTGACGCTTCACAAGGCTCTGGCCCTCAAACTTAGGCGAAATTACCCTGATGTTAAAATGTGTCTCATTTGCATTGTCCTTGACAGCTGCATGCCCAGCATGTTGGTAAGAAACATCTTCAATATCTAGCGCACTGGCCTCCAAAGCAGACTGTAGCTTTTGCCTCATCCGAGCAGCTCTTGAAAGCATAGCACTAGTGCCTCGTGAGCTCATCATTGATACAGTTCGTCTCACAGCAGCTATACCTGCCAACAAAGTTTACTGGTTATGAAGATAATCACTATCACAAAATGAAACTAGATCAGTGGGAATGCACACATATTCAAGATCAATAGTGCATGGACCTTTACAGAATTTGCATGCTGCAAAAGATTGATCTGAGAAGCTCAGGTCATCTCAGAAAGCTGGGTCCTGAGCATGATTGCATAAATGAAAACAATGACTTAGCCTAAACTATATCTAAAACCGTTGTGGTCCATAAAACATGATGTGACAGTGCAAGTACTGATTTCTGAACTAATATGAATTCAAGATATGTTGAAAATGCGGTGCAATTCAATCAGGCGTCATCTTTCCTACCCCTTCATATGCAGGCACAACAGAGTTCAGACGTAACAAATCCGATTTCGGCTAAGCATATCCCTCCGGTGGGTGCAAACCATCAATCTGCTTTTGTTGTAAACATTCAATATGTTTTTATTTGTGATCATACACGATTTCAGGGTTACACTGTTCCTCTAAAATGCTCCTACCTACTCTACCTTGTAAAGACCATACTGAACTCCAAGCGTCAGTCACAAAATCGATTTTGATGATAAAAGATGGTGAAATTAGATAGTTTTACAGGTGACAGAAGGCGCAAGTAAAGCTGGAAAACGGCTCGATTCAAACATCTTAACCAAGAGGATCTGACCATGAGCTAGGGGTAAAGGAAGGGGGAAGTTCAGCGGCTGCCATGAACTAGCTCCGCTCACGCGCAACGAAACGAATACGATAATAAACAGGGAAAGCATGTAGCTTACGTTTTCCGGCGCCGGCGTACTCTCGCCCGGATCGGGGTAGCAGCAGGCGGAGCGACGGCGGCTAGGGTGGAGGAGATACCTGACAGTGGAAGAAATCATGGAACATGGGCCGCCTTTACGGGCCTTGAGTAGTACATGGGCCGTCTTGCTCCACGTGTTGCGGATAACGCCGAGTCGCCACCAACCTCGCTCGATCACGAACGATATGAGGGGAGAAAAGTCAAAGCAACTGAATCCCTCAGTGCCTCACTGCTGCACTCGCGGAGGCGACCAGGATTGCTCGTCGTCCTCCACGGAGATGGCGGCATTGCCGGCCTATCTCCTCCTCCTCCTCCTCATCCTGGTGATCCTCCGACCAGCGGCTGCGCCCGGCGCCGCTTCGCAGCCGCCTACCTCGGAGCCTCACCTCCCGCCGCCGCTGCTTGCTCAGAAGGTGCAGGTGTGGCCCAAGCCGACGTCCATCTCGTGGCCGTCCGCGGTGTACGCGCCGCTCTCGCCGTCGTTCAGCGTCCGCGCGGTGCTGTCCCACCCGTCGCTCCGCCAGGCGGTAGCCTTCTACACCCGCCTCATCCGCGCCGAGCGCCACGCGCCGCTGGTTCCCCCCGCCAACTACACCCTCTCCCGCGTCCCCGTCCGCACCCTCACGCTCTCCGTCTCCGACCCCGACGTCCCGCTCGGCCCCGCCGTCGACGAGTCCTACACGCTCTCCGTGCTCCCGGACTCCGGATCGGCCGATATCTCCGCCGCCACGCCATGGGGCGCCATCCGCGGGCTCGAGACCTTCTCCCAGCTCGCCTGGGCCGGCGGCGGCGCCGCCTCCGGTGGCCAGCCGATCGTCCCCAGCGGCATCGAGATCTCCGACCGCCCACACTTCACCCACCGCGGCATCCTCCTCGACACCGCCAGGAATTTCTACCCGGTCCGCGACATCCTCCACACCCTCCGCGCCATGGCCTTCAACAAGCTCAATGTCTTCCACTGGCACATCACCGACGCCCAGTCCTTCCCCATCGTCCTCCCTACCGTCCCCAACCTCGCCAACTCCGGCTCCTACTCCCCCACCATGCGCTACACCGAGAACGACGTCCGGCACATCGTCAGCTTCGCCGCCTCCTTCGGCATCCGCGTCATCCCCGAGATCGACATGCCCGGTGAGTGAGAAATCCCAGACTCCCTCTGCTGCTCCTGCATTTCAATTCCATTGCTCTCCGAATAAACAGTATACTCAAGGCTAAGTGTCGCGCGCTTCGGATCAGGGCACACGGGTTCGTGGGCGGGAGCGTACCCGGAGATCGTCACCTGCGCGAACAGGTTCTGGGCGCCGCACGCGGAGCCGGCGCTGGCGGCGGAGCCCGGCACGGGGCAGCTGAACCCGCTCAACCCCAAGACGTACCGCGTGGCGCAGGACGTGCTGCGCGACATGGTGGCCCTGTTCCCGGACCCGTACCTCCACGGCGGCGCCGACGAGGTGAACACGGCGTGCTGGGAGGACGACCCGGTGGTGCGCCGGTTCCTCGCCGAGGGCGGCACGCACGACCACCTCCTGGAGCTGTTCATCAACGCGACGCGCCCGTTCGTGGCGCAGGAGCTGAACCGCACGGTGGTCTACTGGGAGGACGTCCTCCTCGGGCCCAAGGTCACCGTCGGCCCCACGATTCTGCCCAGGGAGACCACCATACTGCAGACGTGGAACGACGGGCCGGAGAACACGAAGCGCGTCGTCGCCGCGGGCTACCGCGCCATCGTGTCGTCGGCGTCGTACTACTACCTGGACTGCGGCCACGGCGGGTGGGTGGGCAACGACAGCCGGTACGACAAGCAGGAGAAGGAGCGCGAGGGCACGCCGCTGTTCAACGACCCCGGCGGCACGGGCGGGTCATGGTGCGCGCCGTTCAAGACGTGGCAGCGCGTCTACGACTACGACATCCTGCACGGGCTGACCGACGACGAGGCGCAGCTGGTGCTGGGCGGGGAGGTGGCGCTGTGGTCGGAGCAGTCGGACGAGACGGTGCTGGACGCCAGGCTGTGGCCGAGGGCCGCCGCCGCCGCGGAGACGCTCTGGTCCGGCAACAAGGGCTCCAACGGGAAGAAGCGCTACGCGAACGCCACCGACCGCCTCAACGACTGGAGGCACCGGATGGTCGAGCGCGGCATCCGCGCCGAGCCCATCCAGCCGCTCTGGTGCTCGCTCCACCCCGGCATGTGCAACCTGTCGCAGTAGCAGTGTCAGTTTGCTCCATCGCTTCGCCTCGCTGTCGCCTGCACAGTGCGAAGGAATGTTCAGAAATCCAAGTGACAGAAGAAGAATCCGCATCGATCTTGGGGGCGTGACGTCGTACACTGATTGCTGAAGAAACCAAGAACAGAATAAACGAATGCCTACTAAACAAATGTTCTGTTCTGATGCCCTCTTCCGGAGGGAACCCGCCGATTGCGAATTGTTCAAGAAAGTCGCGGACTTATGCCGTGCAGAAAAGAAAGTTTTCTTTGTGAGTAGTTTCTGCACTTGATGCTGAACAGATTTTTGCACTGTTTATTCCTTCATTTTCACAATAACACGGGTAGATAGAGTAGTAGTAGTATTTGGCTAGTGCAATAGATGAACAAGGTTGTAGTAGAAGTGCAGAACCATCTGGTTGTAGTTTTGTACGAAGGGTATCTTAATAGAAAAAAGTTGGGAAAAAATCACTGATAGATATGTGATTTTCGTTTTGAGGGTCTTCGATGTGAGATCATTCAGATTACAGGTGCAGAGTCTATGCAACTATTTTGTGGTGTCAGCAATTTATGGTGCTCTGTTCAGTCCAGAAAAAAATAATCAATCAGTGTATGGTGCTCTGTTCAGTTCATCATCAGCATCAAGACAATCAACTTCCGGGCCGACTCCCCATTGAACTCGTCGGCATGCGCCGTAGATGTGCTCATTTTAGCGTTGTGGTCATGGATGGCGTCCTTGATCACAGCATATGTTATGATGGACGTGTCCTTGTCAAGTCACGGCGGCATTCGATTTGGAATCGATGACAAACTTGGTCCTCTTTTATCAGCAGATGATAAACTTGGTCCTGCTTGAAAACTACCGTAGGTACATTGACATTTTTGTCAGACATCTTGCAAACAATCTGTACCTGTACATCTGTAGCTGTCTGAATGGCCGACTTGATGTCAGAAAACAAGTTTACCAGTTCGATTTTTTTAATAAGCATGCCCTAAAAATCATATATAGACAAAAATTTCATGTAATTGCGATATAATTTTACACCAGGCATACTCACAGTCAGAGGCAGGCAGAATGGAGAAGACCACCATCATCTCCAGTCGCCTAGTCACCTTTCTTGTAGTAGCTGCTCGTTATTTGGTCCACCAAATAGTGGAGTCACTTTCCCTGCAACGTGTTCCCGGGGCTGAAGTGTTCCGGTTCACGCCATTGTGCCTGCCCTCCTTTTATCCCTAGCTTTTTCTATGTGCTGCACTGCTCAGGTCCCTTCTGTCTTCCTCTGAACCCTGAACCAATCCCGAACTCTGAACTCTGAAGGCTGCAGAGACAGGCAGAGAGATATGAGGGAGATAATAAGCATCCACATAGGGCAGGCGGGCATCCAGGTGGGGAATTCTTGCTGGGAACTATACTGCCTCGAGCATGGCATCCAGCCGGACGGCCTCATGCCCAGGTTCTTCTCGATCCCAATTCTTGCTCGTCTGCATCTCTTGCTGTCTTTTCCTACTTAATTTTGTGAAATTCTGATATTCGGATGATGGTTTTGTCCTGTTTGGTTGGTTCTTGCTGTAGCCTAAAAAAGAATTGATCTTGAGGAGAATTTTGGGGCAGAGTCTCCAGCTCCAGTCATGTATGACAATCAGAAGTGAAATTAGCGATTTTTATTCGATGTTTGATTTGCACCATGCATGCTAGCACTGTTCTTGTAGAGATGCTATCTGTGAATCTGTGATCCCCAAGCCGGTTGCTTTGAGAGTAGAAAGCCTGTGCCTTTTTTGTGAAGCGAATTTCATTTCAAGAAGAATACTAGTCTGTGACTTGCTGCGGTGCCTAGTGGCTCCTAGTTTACGATATCCTAATCCTTGGTCATATCTGACGCTTGCTTGCAGCGACACAACTCCTGGAATTGCAAGGGATGCATTCAACACGTTCTTCAGCGAGACGAGTTCAGGCAAGCACGTCCCAAGGGCGTTGTTCGTCGACCTGGAGCCCACGGTGATTGATGAGGTGAAGACCGGGCCATACCGCCAGCTCTTCCACCCAGAGCAGCTCATCTCCTACAAGGAAGACGCTGCTAACAACTTTGCTCGTGGGCACTACACAGGTGTGATGCTTACCCTGAAACTGAGCCATTTTGCAGAAATAAAATGTGTCTATGAAAATGTCTAAACCAACATATTGATATACTCCAACTAGAATAGTATTCACAAGAAACATTCTACAGGTATGATTGATCCACAAAGATATGGTTTGGGTGGATTTAGAGGAGTCTGAATCCATGATATTGCTTACATATCCTTGGGATCCATAAGGATTATTGCTCACATAAGGAATAACATTAATTGTTTATAACTTATATCCTTGGGGTGACTTGTAATAATAATTTAGGAACTTACGACATGCCGACTATTTTTTAGTGAAAAATATGACGCCATAAATTTAGCTTCCTCCATAAATAAATTGTCATACTAGAGAAACTGTCATATTCCTTTATAATGAAAATATTTTTTTAGTAATGATTCAAATCCTTTTTTTTTTCTGCTGCAGTTGGAAGAGAGGTGGTAGATCTTTGCCTTGATCGACTAAGAAAACTGGCAGATAACTGCACTGGTCTCCAAGGTTTTCTGGTTTTCAATGCTGTTGGTGGAGGAACCGGCTCTGGACTTGGTTCATTACTTTTGGAGCGCCTATCAGTAGATTACGGTAGGAAGTCGAAGCTCGGGTTCACAATATATCCTTCACCACAGGTAATCAAGAAAAGTATTCATGATTTGTTACCATGTTTGTGTTCATTACAGCGTATTGTAGTGCCATGGAAAAAAATAGAATACTCCAGCAAAAGAATGTCTTCTGTGATGTTGAATCATTTATTTGACAAGTGCATGGATAAAATTCTCAGGGAAAACCGAAGTAAATTATGTTCATCAGCAAATGCAATTTCTTATAAAACTGATTCTCCCATGATCCTAAACACATGTCCAATTTTCAGCATATTTTTCATTCCATCATTATCTCTTTTTTTTCGAAAGGCCATTCCATAAGTATCTGAAAATGACCACAGTAACTACTGTAAACATCTGATTCTTATGATTAAAAAAAATCTACATATGTCTGCCGGACCCTATTTTGAATAGAAAGACCCTTCCAAACAATCTAATCTTTATGGAAGACTTAATCTAAAAAAATCTTTATGGAAGAGCTGTGCAAAATTACGTAATCACCAACTGTTCATATGTCCTTATCCAAAGGCGTAGAATGTAGGCAGGTGTACCTTCACACTTTTTGTGGGAGCAACATCAACCTGTTATTGATGGAAACAACTGTTTTTCTTTTTATACTACTTCCTCCGTTTTACAATGTAAGTCATTCTAGCATTTCCCACATTCATATTGATGTTAATGAATCTAGATATCTATCTAGATTCATTAACATCAATATGAATGTGGGAAATGCTAGAATGACTTACATTGTGAAACGGAGGGAGTATGAACTATTTCCTTGATAATTTTTACAGAGGTCAGTATAGGTCTATAAGAGTCAGATATAGGACAATACATCATCTACATAATCGAGAGCGAGTGAAAAAAAAAGTTATTTTTAGTTTTCTTTTTTCAGAAGGCTGTGAACCATACTTTAATTTAACTATGTAAGACTATTAATAATCGTACTAGTATTTTTTTATGTCATCATCATGCATGCACATCATGTCAGATACTCAGATATCTCAATGCAAGGTAAACATGTACCCTCCGAATGGACTAGAGAAGCTAAATTTGTCGATGTTAACATACAAGCTCTGTACTGAAAACCACTCCCTGTGTGTTGCAGATCTCAACGGCCGTGGTGGAGCCTTACAACAGCGTGCTCTCGACCCACTCCCTGATCGAGCACACCGACGTCGTCGTCCTCCTGGACAACGAGGCCATCTACGACATCTGCAAGAGGTCGCTGGACATCGAGCGGCCGACGTACACCAACCTGAACAGGCTCATCTCCCAGGTGATCTCGTCGCTGACCACGTCGCTGCGGTTCGACGGCGCCATCAACGTCGACATCACCGAGTTCCAGACCAACCTGGTGCCGTACCCGAGGATCCACTTCATGCTGTCCTCCTACGCCCCCATCATCTCCGTCGAGAAGGCGTTCCACGAGCAGCACTCCGTCCCGGAGATCACCAACTCCGTCTTCGAGCCCGCCAGCGTCATGGCCAAGTGCGACCCCAGGCACGGCAAGTACATGGCCTGCTGCCTGATGTACCGCGGCGACGTCGTCCCCAAGGACGTCAACGCCGCCGTCCACTCCATCAAGACCAGGAGGACTGTGCAGTTCGTCGACTGGTACGTTAACTCCATCATCTCGCTGAATTCCAGAGATTTTAGCCGGAGATGATGACGATGATGATGACGAAGACGGTGATCTTGTGTTTCAGGTGTCCGACAGGGTTCAAGTGCGGGATAAACTACCAGCCGCCGACGGCGGTGCCGGGAGGGGACCTGGCGAAGGTGAGGAGGGCGGTGTGCATGATCAGCAACAACACGGCGGTGGCGGAGGTGTTCTCGCGGATCGACCGCAAGTTCGACCTCATGTACGCCAAGCGCGCGTTCGTGCACTGGTACGTGGGCGAAGGGATGGAGGAAGGGGAGTTCTCCGAGGCCAGGGAGGACCTCGCCGCGCTGGAGAAGGACTACGAGGAGGTCGGCGCCGAAGTCGAGGACGACGACGAGGAACAGGGCGAGTACTGATCGGGCTAGCCTGCTAGGTGAATCTAGCACGGTAGATAAACCGCAAGTTTGTAAGGTCGGTGGAAGGGGGTCTCTCGGTTTACATGGACTCTTGTGACTTTGTGGTGTGAGAGTGGGTTTTGTTGTACTTGCATCACAAAAAATAAAAGAATTCGTCAGAAATCAAAATGTGAATCAAAAGCAAATCACAGTGAGTATGTATGTCGATAAATTATTCGCGGCACAATTATTTGTGCCCCATTTGGAACATAGAAATCCACATGAAATAATCCAAAAAGAAAAGACAAATGTCATAGAAGACACAAAAACGGTTTCACAGAAACCAAAATGTGAAAGCAAATGAAAAACCGCATATCGATAACTTTCTCCCAACAAAAATTGTCATATCGATCGTTTCAAAAAAAAAAAATCATATATCGATAATTTATTCGCGGCCCAATTATTTAAGCCCCATTTGAAACATAGAAATCCACATGAAGCAATTCAATTCTAGGCCCACAAGACAAATTCCGTCCCTGGCCCAAAAGCGGGCTGCTGTTTCCCGTGGGCGCCGGACGGGCAGACGACGAACCAGTGGTTTTGGGCGAACCGAAAAAAATAAATAAAAAAAAGAGCCGAAAAAAGTGAAAGGCCTGGGAGCGAAGCGGCAGAGAATGGCAGGGAAAGCCGGCGGCCTCAAGGGCGTCGCCCTCATCGGCGGCGCCGGCGGCAACAGCGCGGTCGCCGGCGCCCTCCACTTCTTCCAGGACCCCTCCACCGGTACGCGTCTCCTCCCTGTAGCTCCGTGCTGTTCGCCTGCGCGCACAGCAGCTCGTCTCGTAAGTGAATTGACCTCTTCTCGCTGATGTGATTTTGGTGGACTACTCGATCTCTGCGTGGTTTTTTAGGGTATACCGAGGTGAGGGGGAGGGTCACCGGCCTCGCTCCGGGCCTCCATGGCTTCCACATCCACTCCTTTGGCGACACCACCAACGGCTGCAACTCTACCGGTTCGTTGCCTTCCGTTTCCCTTGCTTGGTTTTGTGACTTAGGTTGTGAAATTGATGGGGGATTTGGCCATTTGGAGCACTGCTCGATAAGATCGTGTATTGCAATTGTGAACTCGCATACTCCTATATTATGTATAAGTAGAACTTACAACGCTAACTACCATAAGAGAAGATAGGCATCTAATTTGAGTTGACTGCTGATCAAAACATGGATAGGACGAAAACGTCACTGAGGTAGGAACTTCGTTTACCAATTGAGTTGTGCTGTGAAGAATTATCAAATGACCGATTTATTTGTTAAAAAGTGCACTGGACAAAACTTTTTTTTTTGTCGGGACGGCCAAAGATAGGCCGGCCAATTTCATTAAGATTGGGGGAAATAAAGTTTTAATTACAACGACATGAAGGATGTCGCGCCGGTCTCAAGCAAACTCAAGCACTGGACAAAACTGTTGGTTGTATTTATGTGTGCACTACAAAAAGAGATTGTCACGCCTCCCGCAGAGTTTTTATGAGTTACAATGCCTTCGGCAAGCCTATGGAAACACTACTATTAGCCTTTGCCCAATGAATGATGGATCATGGAATGGGTAGTGAGTGTACTCAGGTGAAAGTTTTGGGGAACTGCATAAGCTCAATGTATGCTGCAAAAAATGTTTCCAATACAGAATCATCTGCTCACCCTTCCATTCTAATTGTCCTGTTCAAATCTTGCTACTGCATTTTTAAGTGAATGGTTTTCATTTCTTTTATTTAGGGTTTGTTTTTCATGAAAATTTGACTTTTTTCTTCTTCACGTGTACGGGGTCTATATTTGAAATGTTATGGAGAGATGGATAACATCAAACTCTATGTTACTAGATTTATTTGAGAATTTTCATAACCCAAGTTGGGGGTGCTCCATGGAGCAGCTGAAGTGTTCTCTCATGCCATCTTGCAATTGTTATTTTTCATTTGTTCTGATTAAATTACTTGTCCCAGGGCCCCATTTTAATCCTCACAATAAGTCCCATGGGGCACCATCTGATGATGAAAGACATGTGGGCGACCTGGGAAACATAGTAGCCAACAAAGATGGTTAGCACTCTGTCAGGCCGTCTACATTAAGACCTTTGAGGCAACTAACGCAAAGAAACTTTGTAAATTAATTCATGTGTGTCTACCAATAATACATCACCTTTTTGTTCCAGGTGTTGCAGATATCTTCATAAAGGACCTACAGGTTCCATTGTCTTGAAATATGTAAAATATCAGTTTGTTCATCTTATTGTTTATGCTAATGCATTGGTAATTCATATTCATTGCTTTGTGAAGATTTCACTAAGCGGGCCTCATTCCATATTGGGAAGGGCAGTTGTTGTTCATGCTGATTCTGATGACCTAGGAAGGGGTAAGCATTATGTCATTACTCTTGCAAGATTGTTATTGGTCATTCAGAATTGAAGAGAAGTCTCCCTTCCTACATTATATATGTCCTCTTATTTTAGAAAATATTGAATTCACTATTTAGAGGGTAATTTAGAGCTTATTACCTGCCGAATGGCGTGCTATCATGCATTTGAATATTCATATAACTATTTAACGTAGAAGTTCCCTTGTTAGCTATGGTTGATATGGGATTATTCGGTGTTCCAAAGCTGCCTGAGATTTGGCTCTTCAACCTTGAGTGTAACTACTAGTAAAAATCATATTCATAAGACAGGTAATCCCTCCCAAGCCCAACTAACCTGGGATATGCTGAATTGCTGATAGCTGTCATGAAATTATTGTGGACTGTGGTACTATGTTAACATACAGTAGGGTATAAATCATAATCCAGTAGGCAAGGGCCCAAAACAGGTCCAGATAACAGGATTTGCATGGGCTGTACCATGCTGCAGTTCAAAATCTAACTGCCCATGGGCTGTACAATGCTACAGGTCAAAAATCTAATTGCCAGTCTCTGTTCCTCTGCTGCATTTATGCTAGGTTTGTGGTAGCAGACAAATGTTACTGTGGTGCCTTAAGAAATACATTTCTAGCAATCTAGATCTAGGATTCTGGCACTATCTATGCTGCATTGTTTTGCCAATTATTTTCAGTGCCTCCAGAGGCCTTTTTATACATTATTTGTGCAAGACATGTCCTAGGAGTTGGGATGATAAAGCTCTTGCCATTACCATCAATAACTGCGTCATACTCAATTCTGAACAACATCTGTTTGTGTCCAATTATTTAAGTATGAAATATTTTGGTATAATATTTTTCTCTCCTGTTCAAACTCTATGTTCCATTTGTTAACAATTGGCTAACTTTGACTAGTGGTAGGTTCCAAAATACATGCTCAAGTATCCATCAGTTGAGTCAAATTACGGATTGCGAGCCTAATGTTAGAATAGGTTTCATGCACAATTATGTTTTGCCATTTAGTATCACATGGTGAAGCATTCACTTTTTATGCTGCTGCTCATTGTACTACTTTGATATTTTGAAGGTGGTCATGAACTCAGTAAAACAACAGGAAATGCAGGAGCAAGAATTGGATGCGGTAAGTGAGAATCTTTTTGTAGTTTCTGAAACTGAGAGGAGGAAAGAACCATTCGGACATACTAGTACTCAGGAACACATAGGACAAATATTGTACAAAATAAAAAGAAACTTTTTTTTTCTCTGCAAGACCGATCCTTCCAGTGGAATGACAAGCTAATATGTCTGCTAATAACTTGTAGGTATCATTGGACTTCGATCTGCAGTTTAACAATCTATAGTCATGAAGCTTGAGGTGGTGGTGGTATGCTGTTCAGAGATATGGAAATCATTGGCGCTCCTCATTCCAGACTGTTTCAAGAATGGCTTTTGACGTGTTATCACTGCCTTCAGTTATCTATACGTACTTTGTTACGGAGTATATTCTTTTTTTGAACGAACATACGGAGTATATTCTATAAATAAAGGAAAAGTTTCCTCATACTTATACTGTACCTTGGACTGAAGCTGTGCAAACTCACAATAATGTGTTACTATTTCTCAATCTTCAGCTTACAAGCGATGCTGCTTTGAATTTGGCCATAAGCCAATGTCCTTTATGGTACTATTAAATGAATACATAGCAGCTTTTTGTGAATATATATGCTCGTAATACTGTTATACTACGACCTTAAGGCACTCCTGTTGCCTGGCAACCAAGCAAACGCTGACAAATCTGGAAACGGGTTTGTCATGGTGTGTGTTTTATCTTTGCTTCAAACATACTGAAACACAATTTGTCAACTTCAAACCTGTGTCAGATTCTACTCCCTATTGGATCGAAGAACTGGAAGTGCTCGCCTACCCTCTGTTTAACCAACCATTCCAATTTGTCAACTTCAAACTTGTGTCAGATTCTACTCCCTACCGTATTGAAAAAACTGGAAATGCTCAAGGATCAAAGTATCCTGACAGCGTATGACGTCGTGAGCACCAGCCGGCCATGATCCGTGAGTGACCATCAAAGGCTGTGACAGTCCCAAGACACTCCGTCCAAACACTACAATCTTCCGTCTCCAAGATGCAAACAAGAGCAAGAGTTCATGCTACATTAATAGGACTTGCAGTTTGCAGGTTAAGTAAATCACGCTTAGCCTCCGGTTGATGCTGATACCAAGGTCAGCCCTGGGCCCTGGGGGGGTAAGAATGCCTCGACGGGAACCGGACACACCGGAACGCGCCAAAAGGGCGAGCGAGCCGTGCGCGCCCGATTCGGTCTCGCGGCGCGCGCGACCCTGGAGCTTCCCCCTTGGCTCCGGGCGGTAGCCTAGCCGGGCGGGCGGAGCAGAGCGGATACCGGCGGCCGCGAGCCGCGACGGCTGCTACGGACACCACCGTCCACCACACCCCGCGCGCGCGCGCGCCTCCCCGCGCGATGCCGCCACGGAGAAGCGGTTCGTGGACTTTCCGGAGGCGTCCGGTCTCGGCGGCCTAGACATAACGGCGTCACGCACGCACGTAGCGCGTACGTACCCTGGGTCGGTTTGGGGCGAGTAAAATAAACGAGCACGCACGTAGTACGTGGCGGTGTGTGTGTAGGAAGGGGAATGCAACGCGCGCCCGTGCGGTCGTCTGCGTGGGGGCGACGGCGCGCGCGCGGCAGCATACGCGGGGCGCGGGGGGGGGGGGGGGGGGGGGGTAGATGATCCATCGTGGCGCGTGCGGGCCGTGTCGTCTCGTCCCTGCGCCTCGGCTCCGCTCGCCTCGCCTGCGTGTGCGTGCGCGTGTGCCGTGGCGACACCGTCGTTTCGCCTTGACACAGCGTGATTCCTCCGATGCACCACCGAGCGACCGTTCCTGCTGCTGCCATTAAGTCCGTTGTTTTTCTGTACGATCGGTCGTAATAGTGAAGTAGCGTCGTCTGTGATTAGATCCGTGGTTTGTGACAATAACCACTTGGTCGGTCCAACTGAGTGTGACAAAACTACAGAAGTACATGTGCAGTTAATAACCTCAAACGAGACAGAAAACACAAACTGCAAATGAACGCATAGGCTGAAAATGTGGCTCAGTTTGAATCCATCCCCTTCTTTAAGAGTATTTCTGTAGTTACCGAGTTTGGATTCAAGATGAATCCAATCATAATTTAGTTCAGTTATCTTTTTCTTCTTTTGATAGCCTTAGTAGGCAATCAAGTAAACGTATCGATGAGTAATCATGAACACGTTCACAGATCACAGAGCCTATTCAAACAGACGGAATGCACGTAAGAGCTCCCTGTATGGAAAGATGGGTTCTACACACTGGTCCATGTGGATATTGCACGTCACACTCTCAGCTACACTACAAACCTCTCGATACACAACAACATCCCAGCAGGCTGGGCTCAAAAGGGGAAGTGATTAATGTGGAAAGATGGGATTAGTCGCTGCGCTAAGCACATCGAGTTAATTAACGCCTAAGCAAAATGGAGCTCCAGCTTTGGTCCCTTCTGGGACAAAACCAAAGCGATCTAGGTCCACACGAAGCAGATCACGCTGCATCTGGATCAATGAAAGCGAACTGGATCATTGTTGTTGCAGGAGATCATTTCAATTTGTTTTAGCAGTAGCTCGCCAGGAAAGATTTGCATGTCCACTGTGCTAGCTTGGCTTTACCCAGAACTCGAGAAAAAAAAGAGGCTGTTCACACTAGTGGTCTCATAGTAGTATAGACTTTAAACTTCGATTTGGTCCACAAGAAATTGATGTTCAATTCAGTCATCAGCTTTGCTTTTTGTAAGCACTTGTGACAAAGCTTAAAAGCGTCAAACCTGATCATCATCTCAAAGTAAAACCAACTTACACAGAAGAGAGAGAGAGGGAGAGCGACAAAAAATTAGCAGAAAATCAGAAGGTGTACATGCGTACATGTAGACTTCTGTTTATACTAGTACTAGTATACTGGACTCTGCTTAATCGGTGACGCTAGCTTTTGTGTGTTTTACGAAGTGGCCGACAGGGTTACTGTAAAAGATCGAAAAGGAAAAAACCGTCGGGACTCTCCATGTCATCTCTCTTTTTCGTCTCAACGTTTCAAAATTTTCAACGGGCCGTGTCTGGCCTGTTGTGTTCTCCCTCCAACTGTGTTGGCTCGATATGTCGCATGACCAACGTGACACTGTCGCGTGCAAGATTTTTTAATATTATTTTAAGTAAATTGCATTGGCAGTACAAGAACTTAAAAGTTAGGTGCGATTAGGTGCAAAAAATTGAAAAAACCGTGCATAGCGGTACAAGAACTTGACAGGTAGATGCGATTAGGTGCAAAAACTTAAAAACCGAGTATAGCGGTACAATAACTTGGCTAGGTGGGTGCGCTCATGGTGCAAAAGTTGCCACGCTATTGTTCCACCTCAGCGAAAGTGCCACATGAGCATGCATTGACCATCTCATTTTACAGAAAAGTCCCTAATAACTTTTATATTCCAATTACTTCTTCAGATATATCTGTTTTCCTCCTGTATCACAATGATCAAACCAGTCCATCTTCTCATCCAAATAAATTCTGCTACTGCCAACTCCAAAAAAAAAAAAAATCCACCACGATACAGTGCAATTGTGAATTCTTCTTCCTCATGACCTGCAATACAAAATAATTGGTTGATGTGTTATACCGCATAAGGAAAATAATACACTAAGATTATTTGCAAATTATTCAACTAATTATATCTGCTGACAAGGGTACAACACATCTAGCAAGAATTTCTCATTGCCAATGTTTCTCTTATATCATATACAATTACAGGAAACACCAATAATTTCAGTAAAACCAATCTAGTGGCTAGTACCATTAGATCACTTCATTGAATTGTAATAACAAATAACATGATATTCAAGTGAAAACCCAAAAAAATGTAGCCATTGTACAGATCAATGAAACCTTAACTTCGAAATCATCCATCAAATGAACGAAAAATAGAAATCTACAACCATCAGCAAGTGATTTACCATAATAAGCTAGGAGCAGATGCTCCAAAAACTCGTCGATTCAGAGCCATCCCAAAGCTTACGGTGATCATGTCGACGGTAGCAAATTGTCGGCTTGAATTGGTTTGGTTACTGGTTTAGGGCTTGAACTAATGTGGCACACGAAGCCCTCGCCGCCGCGGCGATGTAACGGTTTCCCTCGTTGCCGTCGTCACTGCCGCCGCCACCGTCGCTACGCCGCCATCGCCACAACCGCAGCCGCCTCTCAATTAGGAACACGTCAAGAAAGATGGAAGGAGATATGCATACGTTTGTTCTGTTTGTCGAGTTAAAAAGGAAATGTGATTGGAAAAAAAAAGCTATTTGGGGTTTTTTATAAAATGAGATAGGTCTTTCATATAAAGCTGATGTGGCAATTTTGCTAAGGTGGAATAGCAACGTGGCAATTTTTTTTACATGGCTACTTTTGCACCATGAGCGCACTCACCTAGCCAAGTTATTGTACCGCTATGCTTGATTTTCAAATTTTTACATCTAATCGCACACACCTGCCAAGTTCTTGTACCGCCAACGCAATTTACTCTATTATTTTTATGTTTGAAATGAAGAAATAGCATGTGTCCACTGTAGGCGTACAATATGAAAATATTTTGAAAATCATGGCATTTTGCAGGGCATTTTTTAAAGCCATGAACAATCAGAGATGAACATGCATGCAGTCAGTCACGGCGAGAGGCTGCAAAAGGGGTCGATTTTACTCACATTTTAGGGCTGTTATTTTACACGGGTTGAAGAATATCCTAGGAGGTAAATACTGGGGGGAAAATGTCGACAAAAGATCAACTTAGCATAATTATAGCATTGGATTATGCTGTAAAATGTATGGAGAAGAACGCTAGCTTCATCGGTTGGATTCATGCTTCAGCAACGGGAGATCATCTGGAGTTCAGATCAGATCCTCTGGTGGTGGTGGAGCTGGAACAGCTGCTGGTGGTGGAGCCCGGCGTGCCGTCGCAGCGGCGGCTGCACCGTCTTGTGCTGCTTCGACTTCTCGTCGACGATGGCGATGAGCCCGCCCAGCGGCGGCCGCATCTTGGCGCGATACGATATCTCGTCGTAGGGGCGGCGGTAGAAGCGGAGGAACGGCAGGAAGGACTCGCGCTCCCGCTCGCCGCGGCTGGCCTGGCCGTCCTTCTTGAACGCGAACAGCATCGACGGCGACTGCAGGAACGACGGCCGCGGCGTCCGCGGGAACTGCTGCGCTGGCGCCGGCGCCTTCTGCCCGCCCTTGGTCGAGAACGGCGTCAGCGGTGCGCCGCGGTGGACGGGCGGCGTCGTGGTGGAGCGCGCGGCGGGGGAGGCGAAGGAGAAGGAGCGCGCCGAGAGCGGCGACGCGCCGATGAGGGACGGGCTGGAGGTCGGCACCACGGAGCGAGGCCCCACCGACGACGGCGTGGTGGTGGACAGGTACCACGGCTTGAGGGTGTTGTCGTGCGACACGGTGACGGAGAACCGCGACGAGGCGGAGCCGACGCCGATGCCCTTCGTCCCGGTCGCCAGCAGGGCCGCCGCCGGCTCGAACCGCAGCGACGCCGTCCGCGGGTACGCCGTGAACGACGCGTCCTCCAGCGAGTC